TGCAGTGGAAAAGGTTCTATTTGGTATTGGCCAATGTTATTTTTTATGTTTGAGTTTAATTTCAAAGTTTATATTTCCCTTTATAAGTGCGATAAATAACTGCTGCATCACTTGTAAGGTTAAAATTGTTAACGTGAAGAGAGATGACAGTTACTTGTGATCAGTTATAGTACTTTTTTTTTTTTATACTATTTATCTATTCAGAAAGAAAAAATTACATAGACTAGACTTTATCATCTTGTTATAATTATTTGGTGAACTTTTTAATACATCTTTTATTAGTGTTTTTTTTTTTATTTTGAGTTAAATTTAATTTTTTATGAGCTAAAAGATATTTGTAAAAAATAAGTAATTTATGTGATGCGTGCTCGTCTTTATGGACAGCGTTTTATTGTCCAATGAACGATGGAAGTGCGGTGTGTACCGGCAGTGATCCGCTGAGTACCGATAGTTATTTTTTTTATGATTTTAATTTTTTGAAGTGGTATTAGCCGTGTATATTCTTTCCTCTTATAATTCATGAGCAGAAGTTGTTTCATACGATGTCTCTCCATCATTTTATATTTTTTACTTATGAGAATATGATTGTTTTTGTTTATCTGCCTCTAAATATTTTTTATATACTACATATCATGTCGTCTTTAACAGCATATTTTTGTGAGATCCTTATTTTCACATTTAAGGAAATTCCGAGATGAAATTTGCACAAAGGTTTAGGAATCAAATCTCAAAGGTCATTTGTTCGGAGAGAAGATTGAAGACTTCCCCTATTTTTGAACCAAAAGTAGAAAGAGAAAGTGTCAAAAAATATTTTTGAGTTCTAATGTATTGTTTTCTCTCCATTAAGAGAGAAATTTTTAGTAAAAAGGGATCTAACCCAATATAATTTTTACACAATGCCACTTTTTATTAAAAAGACAAATTTCTATTACTTTATACTGGGTAGAAATGTTTTTATATTAAAATAGTTTTTTCTTTTTATGTTTCTACCTAACCAATTAACGAAGGTAAAATTAAAGGCTTGTTTGATTTAATTTTAATTTTTAATTTTTAAAAATTATATTTTAAAAAAAATTATATAAATATTTTGTAGAAAAAATAAAAATAATTTTTTTGATAATTTAGTTTCTAAAAATATTTTTTTGTTAAACTTTTGTTAATTTTAGAAAAAAAAATCCAAATAGTAATTCTGTTTTTCAGTTTTAAAAATAAAAAATAAAAAATTATTTTTTAAAAATAGTTTTTAAAACTTATATTAATAAACAAGTTTTTTATTTTTATTTTTAAAAATAAACAATTATATTTAAAAAGAAAAAATAAACAAGTATTTTTTATTATTTTCTCCTCTTAATCAAAGCAACCTAAACAAATGTTTGATTTTTAGTTGTTTCCTATTCTATTTTATTTCTTTTCATTTTACTTCTTTCTAACAAAGTATAAAAGTTTAATTAAATCTATTTTTTTTATTTAATATTACTTTCTTTCTCACATTTATTGTGCTTATATTTATAAAACTTAAAACTTTTTTATTTCTTCGTATAAACTATGTTCTAAAAGTAATAGTTGACAAAATAAAAATATAAAATATTTATTATAGTAACAATACAGAAGAGGGTCTTGTATATAATCCAAATTAAACAAAAAAAAGAAACATTTAATTTTATCAGGGTTTAATCTGTTTTGTTTTTCTTACATGAGTTTGATAGTATTAAGTGATATTCATATTACATAACAAGTGAGCTGCACAAGGAGCAAGTAAATTACTTGTATGTATCTGGGTGCAATGGTACGACAGTAAGAGAAGTGCACACAAAACGATGTTCAGTTCAGTATTTACATTTCACAATGGAGTGTGTATGTGGAACTAAGGACATGGAGGACGATCTGTGGTTGGAGTTTTTAAAATTAATTCTGAACTATTATAGAAATATTTATTATTAATAAAAAATATGATATTTTTTATTTTAAAATTTTATTGAACAATTTCTCTGTAATGCAAACAAAAATGTTAGTTAAAATAAATAAGAAAATGATAAATACACTCTAAATCCTAAAACTTAAACCAGAATCAATATACATAAATGAATTATATTATTTGAGGACTAATGCATATGCATTCGAGGAACACACATTGATAATTATGGCAATTTGAAAATCTGCATTCTATCTAACCCAACCAGCAAGCACACTTCCTATTTTATTTTTATTTTTTTTCTATTTGGCTCGCATTGATGTGCAGGAAAAATACAAAGAAAGAAAATGCAATTGCTTCACATGTATATTACAACCACTAATATTTCTCTCTCTCTCCTAACCTTCTTCTATTTAATGAAATAAACGTGTTACAATTCTTCAACAAGTACATAAATTTATTAGCATATCATAAGAACGAGAGTGTTTCTTGAATGAAAAAAAAAGAAGAAGACATTTTAATGTTGTGGACATAAATGAAATCAATATGATCGATGTAAATGCAATGTGTGTGTGTGAGAAAAAAATATACATAAAAGAAAAAAAATATGATGATAAAAAATGTTGGAATATAGACAAAAAAATTTCTTTTTCTTTTACTTGTTAATCCTCTTGAAAAAAATTTAGCATTTTGTAAGATTAAAAGAAATATGATCGATGTCAATACAGTGAGTGTGTGAGAGAAAAATATCAAATACCAAAACTTAACCACGTGTTTGGCGGGTTTCACAATGTGTGGAGACACCACCTCAATACCAAAACCAAAGGGTAATAATATTTCCTCGATCGACACTATAATTGAAGTTTTCAACTTAATTGCATTTTTCTGTAAGTGTCTCTTCTCTGCTTTAGGTTGCAATGGAAAAGGAAAATCCGGGTTCTGGAAGGTGTAGTGAATCAGAACGAAGCAAAGTGGGTGTCAAACTCTGCATTAATATAAAAGGAGAGGAGCACTGTGCAGCGATTGATTTGTTGTGTGTGTGTGTATGTATTGTAGGGTGCAATGGAATATCGTGGAAGATGTAGTGAAGCACAGCGAGTAGCCTCAATAAGTAGGCTCCGGCAAAAGAGGAAAGAACGATGGCTTGGTAACAAAGTTAGATATAGTGGACGTCAACAAGCTGCACTCAGGTCTCTTTAGTAACATACTACGTTTTGAATTGTAGGGTACATCGTGATAAGACCCAATTTATTTTGTCCAAAAAGCAAGATGGAGCTGCTAGCGCTTTGGATGCAATCCATGAGTACAAAAAACAATTGTGAAAATTGCTTGTTTGAATAGATGCACACATTATGGCATTAGTTCAAAATGCACTTAGAGCCTGAGCCCTATTGCCTCCAGTTTCATATTAGAGCCTGAGCCCTCACTAGTGTTTAAAGAAAATAAACTTACGACGTAAAGCACACCTTTTGCATACTTACGTTTTAAGCTTGTTAAGCAAGAAACTAGAATGAGTTTGATAAACTAGATTTGGTGCTATGACGCAGGAGACAGAATTGTCACCCGCGGGATAACTCTTACGGTAAAATAGAATGCAATTGCCTGTTTGCCAACGTGGTTTTGTTTCCTTTCATGTGAAAACTACATTTTCTTTTTATTCAAAATGCACACCTTTTTTTAAAATATTATGCTGTCTTTTTTCGTTTTCAGAAAGGTGTCTTTAACATTTCAACTATCATATAATGTTTTAATAAATTGAGAATAACATATTATATACTTTATAATATATTAGATTTCAGTGGCTTTAAATATTTGTCAAACATCATTGTATTTTTTTTTTTGCATAAGATATTTTTATTAAAAATATTAATTTTTATACAGTTCATCATACAATATATTATTGTAGTATATCTTATAGGAAATAATTTATACACTAAGTACTACAATCAAAAAGGTTTAAAAAAATTATAAATGATAGATTCATTTTTCAATGTGTAATGAACAAATTTTCATGTGATATCCTAATTGTTTAGGACTATAAGCTCTCAGTTAACTTTACAGCTATAGGCTCTTTCAGCTCATAGCCATGGTCTCATGAATTAGAAATACATAATCAGGAGTATATTAAAAAATGTGTTATTAGTATTTTCTTTTAAAAAAAATAATACCACCAAAATATACATACACGTTAAAAAAAATTGTTGGATATGATTATATATTATTTTCCCCTTCTCCTTTGGATACACCAGTGCATGTACCATTTACAGTGCAGGATGCATTTTTAAAAGGTTTCTAGTGATTTTTTTTTCTTATGTAGATTTGTTTAATCTTTAATCGGAAATCGCGTGGGTAATGAAGTGAGATTAACTCGAGTCAAGAGTAAATGATTAAGTAAAACATTCAACAAAGTGACAATAATAAGATCCAAATTATAGATCAAATTTGTTTAAGTCATTTTTAAGGTGACCAATCACTATTGAGGTTTGATATATAAATTAAGCGTACGTGATTGATAATACTTTCTGAAAATATTTTTTTAAAAAAATTAAAAAGTATTAAAAATAAGAAAAACCTCTCCAATATGAATTTATTATTCAAATAGTTGAATGACAACTAAAAAGAAAACATTCACCTAGATTTCCATGAAAATAAACCTTTCTAGTTATTTTGAATGTAATTTTTTTAATAAATTAAACACACGAAATCCATATTGAATTTGTCCAAACATGATTGATACTACTTAACATCACTGAAAAAAATAATTATTTCTCTAAATGAGACAACAGAACAAATATTCATTTATTTGGGTATTACATTTTATATTTTTAGAGTATCGCTTAATGTTTTTACTCCTTTAGAATTAAACTATGTCAATAATACATTTTTAACATGAATATTTTCAACATATTTTATTATTAGATCATTTATGTTAAAATTTAAGGCAGCATTTTAATTCTTATTAATAAATACAAATTAAATTTAAATTAGTGAAATATAAAATATTATTTGTTATCTTTTTCTCTAATTTAATTTTTTTTACAGTAATTTGTAGGAAGAATTTATAACTAGATGTGGGGGGTAATCCGATGGGATAGTTTATACATAGACGAGGGCACACAGACAGACAGAAAGGGTAAGGTTTCGTTAGTTTAGAGCATTTCAGTCTTATCGTCTCGCTCTGATCTCAATTTGGCATTGCAAACATGGCTGTTTCCGCCATCACGGGACCAAGGCTTACACTTGGAACATCCCTTTCCACTCCCAAACGACCTCGAGCTCCTTCGATCACAATGGCCGTATCCGTTGACAAGAAGTCCGACATAAATCTCACTCTTCGCAAGTCCGAGGAAGCTTTCGCTGCTGCCAAGGAATTGATGCCTGGAGGGGTGAATTCCCCAGTTCGTGCCTTCAAATCTGTAGGTGGCCAACCAATTGTGATCGATTCGGTGAAAGGGTCTCATATGTGGGACATTGACGGCAACGAGTATATTGACTACGTGGGTTCCTGGGGTCCTGCAATTATTGGTCACGCCGATGATCAGGTTCCCTTCGTTTTCTCTGTTGCAAATGGAAATCATTTATTTATTTGTTTATTAATTAATTTAATTTATTTTGTTGAAATTGCAGGTGCTTGCAGCTCTTGCTGAAACGATGAAGAAAGGAACAAGCTTTGGAGCACCCTGTTTGCTGGAAAACACTTTGGCGGAACTGGTTATCTCTGCGGTTCCCAGCATTGAAATGGTTAGGTTCGTTAATTCGGGAACTGAGGCCTGCATGGGTGCTCTTCGCTTGGCCCGTGCTTACACTGGCAAAGAGAAGATAATAAAGTTTGAGGGGTGTTACCATGGTCATGCCGATCCCTTTCTTGTTAAGGCTGGTAGTGGAGTTGCCACCTTAGGACTTCCTGATTCTCCTGGGGTTCCCAAAGCTGCTACTTATGAAACTCTCACCGCCTCTTATAATGATTCTTCTGCAGTTCAGAATCTTTTTGAGGCTAACAAGGGAGAGATTGCTGCAGTTTTCCTTGAACCTGTAGTTGGAAATGCTGGTTTCATAGTTCCTACACCTGATTTTCTTGGTTTCTTGAGAAAAATCACCAAGGAGAACAATGCCCTTCTTGTGTTTGATGAAGTCATGACTGGATTTCGTTTGTCATATGGAGGAGCTCAAGAATATTTTAGCATAACACCGGATTTAACGACTCTAGGGAAAATCATTGGTGGGGGTCTGCCAGTGGGTGCTTATGGAGGGAGGAGGGATATTATGGAGATGGTGGCGCCGGCTGGACCGATGTACCAGGCTGGGACCTTGAGTGGGAATCCTTTGGCCATGACTGCGGGCATACACACCCTGCAGCGAATTAAGGAGCCAGGAACTTACAAGTACTTGGACAAGATTACAGGGGAACTTGTTCAAGGTATCATTGAAGCTGGGAAGAGGGCAGGGCATGCAATCTGTGGTGGGCATATAAGTGGGATGTTTGGGTTTTTCTTCACAGAAGGACCTGTGTACAATTTTGCAGATGCCAAAAAGAGTGACACTGCCAAGTTTGCTAGGTTCTTCTGGGGAATGTTAGCAGAAGGTGTGTATTTGGCACCTTCGCAGTTTGAGGCTGGGTTCACCAGCTTGGCACATACTTCTGATGACATAAAAAAGACAATAGCCGCTGCAGAGAAGGTTTTCAGGGAGATCTGAATGTTAAAATTTTGTCTCGTTGCAAATGTAGCTTTTGAAAGGGAATGGTTTGTAGTTTTGTAGGTCAATTTAGATTATTGTGTTCTGGCAGCTGCTTTTGCTATACAACCTGTATCATTTTCGCATCTGATCCTGTATCTACTCAGTGTATTATTTAGCTTAAGCTATTAGTCTCTTGAATTTGAAGCATGTAAGCATTTGAATTCATTGTTTTACTCTTAATATTCTTGTTTCTACATGTTATCTTTCTCATGCATTATATATCAATATACACTACCACTTTGACTTTGCGGGGGAGGGGGTTCGATAACGAGAATGATCTACTGTGCTAGATATAAATTAAAGATATATTTAGCATATTAAACTCAGTTTTGAGTTCTTTGGGACTCAATATTGACATTACTTGGGAAACCTGGATGAACTCACTTTTTTATTGGATGGTTTGCACTGTTGAATATGGTGGACGTATCATAAATAGTAAAAGCAAGCGGATAGGATGATCAATATTATCAATATGCTTGTAGATAAAATTGGACCAAGTTTTATGAACCTCATAACGAGTGCATTCGGGTTCATCATTGAATGTCTATGCACCATATTCCAGGTACTCATTAAGTTAAATGTTCGTTGTAAACTCTAGTCCATTTTACTTATTTTTCTGCTAAATGATGGTGAGTTAATAATAAATTTTCCGGAGGGTTTTTCAGAAAGGCCAACTAGTCTGAAGGCGCAAGCAGGTACGGATTATCTTGCCGGTTTCTCGCAGCGAGAAAAGTTATACTGTTCTAGGACTTTCTGACATGATAAATTGCATTGCGTTTTTCTTTTCCCCCTAAATTATGAATCAATATATTTCCGTTTCTGTATTCTTTGGGTTCCTATTCCAACATAATTTTCACTGCTAGCACACTTAACTTTTCCCATGCATATCAGAAACCAAACAAAATGATGAAGCAAAGCAAGAAAGATAGGGAAAACTCTAGACATATGTTGAACCTCTGATGATACTCTTATATACCAGTCACACAATTGTTAAATTACGACTTCGAATGTATCACAACCTTCGCAAGAAATGTATAATGCAGTTAAATTGAATTTTGTCTTAATACAAAATTTGGGTTTCAATTTGCAGCCTCTGTCAAGATGCTCTATATGGACTTCAGCCAGCCGGTCTCGCAAAAAGCCCAAAGACAGCTGAAATCTCAGAAGATTAAGCTTATGATTAGTAGCTAAAAATGTCTGATAGCATCAACAGTAGATATGACTATTGGCTGGTCTATATGTTAATTTAAATTTGTATAAATTATTCAAAAATAATTTCCTATTCATTAACTAAAATATCCTTCTCAAATAAAAAAGAAAAACGCATCCGATAAAACAGAACAATCAACAGCAACGGAGAAAATGAATCATCATTATAACGTTGGACACCCCAAGTTTGAATATCCGAGTTTCCCAGATAAGAAAAAAAATATCTCCAGATATTTTCCTAGACTATAAAGCAATTTTTGTTTTATGTAGCAAACAAACAGGAAATTTCTTTAAACAGATGCAACGTACCGTCATTCCTTTTAAAAAAAACTATTGAGTTACCCACACTAGTTGCCACACAGGCAACTTTGTTATGAGCTATGTAAATTCCCCTTTGGCCTTACTCATATTTCTCATGTGGGAGTCTAGCATAGGTAAGCCAATGGTAGAACACAGCTACAATTTGGGATTAAACATAACACACTAATTGAATAAATAATTACAGATCTCAGAGTTTGAACATCTCCTACTGAGAATAGCTCTGTCCAAAGAACTTCCAATACACACACCTACAACAACAGTCAAGCCTTATCCCACCAAATGGGTTGGCATATTCTACAACAACAACCAAGTCTTATCCAACTACATTACTACACACCTAAACTGTTTATTTTCTTACAGTGCATATCATAGAGGAAAATTACATAACTGCTCCTACAAAACCTAATAGCTATCTACAATAAATTTCTTTAAACAGATGCAACGTACCGTCATTCCTAACAGTAATAATTAATTTCTAATAGTAATTATCAATTCCTATCAGCCTAACAGTATGTTTTGCTAAATTTGGGTCATAAATGGTTTCAAAAAGTATGCTAGTTTATATGCATAGAAGTTAGATCCTGAAGAATAATGTCTATTTTAATCTGACATCCAAGAGTAAAAACAAGTAGAAATCCACAGAATCTAAAATAAACTTGAATAATTCATAGCAATGCATTGAACTGCTGCTATAGAGCCAGGATACTCAAATATATAACCTAGTTGTGTCTTAATGTTTAGACAAGCTAAAAAAAAAAAAAACACACCTTGTTACCCTCCAAAAGCAAGTAAATCAGGAGTGATGGGGAAGGGAGGAAACATAAGTAGTACCTCGTCAGCTTTGTTTAGTCGAAGTTCACATCGAGTGCAGTATATAAGATGGTGGGTGTCTTTAAGCTCTCCTTGCTTACAAATAGGACACCAAATCTCTTCCTTATGGGCCTATCATCATAATCGATAATCAAAATCAGATAGTGCCCATAACTATATCAAAATATAAGAGAAAGAGGGAAAAGTGTTATGTTTTGAACCACAAACCTTATCTCCGTTTAGCTGCATGTGCTCATAGACTGCACGAGCCAAATACTCATCCACTTCATTTTCCCAAGCCTCAATGTCACTTTCTAAATCTGCATATAATATGATATATGTAAAAATTGAGAGAGTGAGGGATCGAGTAGGGCCTTGCATAACATACCCTGTAGGGGTGGTTGGGATTTGAGATCTTCATAAAATATCCTTTGCATTTCTAAGAGTATGTCTTGGCATTCAACCTCGTAAGTAGTGTGAGGACCTTCGTACTCTTCCCATAACACGTCATCGCCGTTGATTTTGTCGAATTCATCGGATACGATGTCTTCGAATGCAGATGTAACGATATGGTGTTCCTTTTGACGTTGGTTGCATCTCAATTTCCAGAGCAAGCGGTTTCTATCCTCTCGCACCCTTTTGTAGCAATTCTCCCTCAACTGCCAATTCAATTATGATGCTAAAATTCGAAACAAAAAACAAAGAAAAAAGAAAATAGTTGATTGCTTGGAAGAATAACCTTTTGCTTCCAGATTTGGGGTTTGTTCCATTGAGAATCAGATTTTAAAGATGAACGCGTTGCACTTCCGTTCTGCTTCTCCCTCGAGGCTCCACCTTCCTCCATTCTCGCCTCTACCGCTGTGACTCGCAACTCGTAACTCTTCTGTCCCAAGCTGCTTCGTTTTAACTTTTATTATTTGTAAAGCATAGGAAATATAAAAATAGTGATAAAGATTTGTTTTATTATTACAAGGAAGTTAATAATCTCTATATTCTTTTATTATAACAATAACTAGATACATAAATAATAAAATTATCAATTTAAAATTTAAATCATCCATCTCTCTTATTTTCTGTTCACTAGAAGGTAGAGCAACTTCATATCAATTCTATTTCATTAATTTTTTAATGTGTATTTAGCAATATATACTAAAAATTTATAAATAATAAAGTTTATAAAAAAATATTACATGTATATTCTTATTGGGTATCGTTAAGTGTATATTAACAACTTATTTTTTTACGGTTCAAGTAGTAAAAACTAAAAAGATAGTGTAATTTTTATTTTAATTAATAAAAAAATTACATTTTGATGCATTATTTTAATGTGACATGTCAACTAGACAAATAAGTATGAGTGTTAGATTAATTATAATATAAAAACAATTCATAGATATTATACAAAATATATTATTAATATATTTAAATTAAATTTATTAATAAAATTTTGATTCTAATTTATTATTAATTAATTAGAATGCATAATAATATAATTTTAAATTAATTATTAAAAAATAATTTTTCTCAATATAATATAATATAATAATTCATAATCAAATATACTCTAATTTTAATTTTAACATGCACTCGTAAAAAATTAGAATTTGTTTGTTTTTTAAAATAATTTTTTTAAAAAAATTCATAAAAATTATTTATTAACAATTTTTTTATTTCTTAAATAAATTTTTAAAACATTTTTAAAATTAAAGAAAGAAGAAACAAATCCTTAAAAATTATAACAATATTGTCTCAAATTTAAAAAGCAATTTTATTGATTTCTTATTCATCTTTCCATCTTTATTAATTCTATTGTAGGTATTCTATTATCAATGATGAATCTATTTAATACTTGAAATTTTATTTAATAGACGATAATATTTTAAAAATTTAAAGAAATCATTTATACATATTAAACTAAAATAAGAAGTGTCTTTTTCTCAAACGGCTAAAAGAATACTTATGTGATACATTAAAGTTACGAATACCAAATTAAATAACAAGATATTAAATATTTTTTATTTGTAAAAGATACAAGAATCAAGTTTTTTTTTTTTTTTATCATTTATCTAGCTTAAAGTTAAGAACTTCAATTTATACAATAAATTATTAACTAGTTTTTATAGAAAAAATCAATATTCAAGATATATATTAGTGAAATTTATTATTCGATCTGGGAAAAGATAATTTATATAACCCAGTCTTTAAAAGTAAAAGTAAGCAAATTTATTACCTTTTATATTCAATTATAATAGTTCTTTTAACTATAAAATTTTAACTACTTAATATAGTTAAATTCATAATTAATACTTTTATTATACTAATAAAAAATGTATTCTGTTCAAAATTTTAAAGTCATACGATATATTTATATATTTTTATTAAAAAATTATTTAAATTTAATAATATTTATGTATATTAAATAATAAAATTACTAATATAAAACTGTAAATGTACATTATAGATTATTTTCATCCATCCTTGTTATTTCTAAATTTGAAAGGATTTTTTTCAAACAAGAAAAGAAAATTTCCTTTTCATTAAAGATCTTGAAACAAAATATGTATTTAAGATATTAAAAAAAAAAACAGAGTAACAAGGATCATTTCGGAAATCAAATTTCCGAGTGAATTTTAGATCAAATAACGTGCTTAATGTGGGCCGACCCGACCCGGTTATGCCTTAATTGATTGTTTTATTAATGAATATAAGTTTATGGTAAAGTGAATGTACTTTCTCTCTCTTTCAATTGTTTGTTCCTCTGACTCAACTCTCTCTCTCTCTCTCTCTCCCTCCAAGAAGAAGAAGGAGAAGAAATTGTTAGAGAGAGATGCTAGAAAACCTTCCGCCAGCTCCGGCAACGGAATCGGCCACAGTGGTGAAGCGCTATGCTCCTCCCAACCAGAGGTGTTGCATATTTATTATATTACCCATTTCTTCTTTCTCTCTTTCTTTCTCAATTCTTAATCTTTCCCATTTTTTCTTCTGCAGGAACCGTTCTACCAATAGGCGCAAGTCATCTGGTCAGTTCATTCTTTATTCTCTTCATCTGTTGGTTAAAGATTCATCTTTATTTTCTTTTAGACGTCTGAATCTTGCTAATCAAAGTTCATTTACCCTGTCTTATTTGTTACTTACATTGAGAATCTTTTTCTTTTTTTTATAATGGGCACTTAGTCATGTTAAAAAAACGCGGTCCCTTTTTGGTTCATGAATGGTAGTGTTTGCGCTTTATTTTTTTTATATGCTTTTGAAGTTGAGCCACGAGTTTGATGTTAATCTTCCTCTGAAACAAAAGGTAAAAACTTAAAAATGTTCAGTACCATTGTGGTTGCTCTTGGCTCCGAGTCAAATATTAAAACTTAAAAACCTATTATTACCAGCATCTGTGAACACCAAATGAACGTAGTAGCATATCACACAATGACAAAATCCCGTGCCTGAAATCCTTCGGAACGAAAATGGTGCTAGGAATCATCAAAGAATTTGGCTACAGACAACGATGTTAAATAAATATTAAATAATTTAAACTTTACTGATTAAATCTACTCTTGATTTTACCATTTTAGTTTAATGTATAGTTTTATTGAAAATTGATTCCTTCAATTCAAACTTTCGCTATTGTTTTTCTTTCAATATCTTATCTCATTATTTTGTACTCATATTGAAAATTATATGTGAAGGTTTTAGAACTTTATGAAATCAAAAGCTTGGGAAGTTGTGTGAAACAAATATTCTTTTAAATATGATTTGCACACAATATAATGAAGTTAGTTTTTTACACCTTACATATGCTATAATAAAGTTTAGTTTTACAAACCTTGCATATGGGTGAAGTTCTATGGGGTTTATACAACTTGAAGAAACAAGCCAAGTTTAATACTTGTTTAGATGTTCTGAACTTTGCTTTATATATCTTAAATTTACAGCGTTTCTCAAATATGGCACATTTTTCTGCCAGTTTGTTTTTTATTTGATTTGTTTATAATTTCTAGATGTTGGTTGGTTTCTATCAAATTTTGTAGATCGACTTGATCGAACAAACAGTGTTGGGAGTGATTTAGAAAAGAATCAAGCTGCTTCTCCAAGAAGTGTTCACATTCCAGATCATGGAGATGCTGGCAGCAGTAATCTTCTTAATGAGAATCACAATTCAAGATTTGTAGCTTTAGAAGGGTGTAGTTGCAGTGCAGCTGCCCAGCTTCTTAATGATCGTAAGTATCCCCCTACTTTTTCTTCAGAGGACATGGATACATTGAGCTATTACATATTATTTCTCTCTTATGATTTCTAGGTTTTCTTTTTAGAACATTTGTGAGTGTGTACTGTGACCAATGACAATGACCTTCAATTGGTAAACATGGGATTGACATATGCAGATTTTTGGGGCATATGGATCATAGTGTTTTCTTTCAGTTTGTTGGTGAAATGGGGATGCCTAATGCCAACATTTAGTTTTATGTAATATGGTTTATGCTCAATCATTCTTGTTGGATTCCAAAAATATTTGTCTGCATCTAATTGAGTTAGTTTCTGTTAGATCCCCAATAATAGGTTGGGCGATTATGGTTGAGAGCAGTTAGTGAATAATTAAATGTAAGACTGTCAGTGGCAGTTAGGCCAACGAAATAGGAAAAACAATATAAAAAAGAGAAGCTAAAGGGAGTAGGGAGGATATTTTGTATTGTGAAGAAAGTGCGAGCAGGAGCCCTAGGTCTCTCAGAAACCATGAGTACAGTGAGAAGAGAATTCAGACCCTTGTATACACTACTTCTTTGAACAAGTATCACCTTGATACCATCTGAGAGACACTCTTTGGTCATCTTGTTGAGAATTATTGTTATTATTCTTGTACGGCTATGTTTCCTAATTACCTTTAGTTAGGCAGACTTCTCTAAGTGCAGCTTTGATATAATTTAGGAAAGCAGCAGTAGGGATTAGTCTATATTATATAGACACCTTTGTATAGAATGGTCATTCAGAACCTTTCATGTTGGTATCAGCATTTTCAGGATCTTACTTGCAAGTTGGGAATGATTAGATATTCATTCATCAGCTTGAGGGATAGTGTCCAGAATCATTGTTGTTATTATTATAGCTACATTCCTTTTATTAGGCACATCTATATAGCTGTAACATTGATATAATTTAAGAAAGTAGCTATAGGGATTAATCTATATATTATGTAAATTACTTTGTGCAGAATATTCATTCAGAAATATCCTTTCAAGTTTTCTATTCTGTTCTTGACCAGTCTCAGTTTCCTCAACAGATGATTACCATTTTCAAGTCCCAAGTCTAAAGAAAAAGAATATCAACGGTGTCAGAAGTTGTTTTGCTTATTATGAAATTATGCTTTGCATTATCTCTCAGTGTACATGGTTCCATACCTTTTGTTTCATTATAGATTTTATTGTCTTTCAATATTTTAACTATTCAGCTCTGTACTGCACTGCACAACACAATTTAAATTTATTGAATTACAGAGAGAAAGGGATGGGTGGGTGAGGCAAGAGTTCATTTACTTGTAAGTCCATTATGTTATGTCCATATCGTTGGTTAACATCACCTGCTATCTCTGTTGGCCATAAATTTCTGTTTTCAGGTTGGACAGCTGCAATACAGTCCTACAATAATCCGAAAGATTCATCTGGTTAGTGTGCAACCATCAAAGAAGACATCTTTTCCACATTATGAATTATTGCCATTTTGTTTATAGTATTTGTTATCATGAAACTTGTTTTGTATTTCTAAGACCTTCTTGTGAGTTGAGTTGAATTCATCAGTGAAACCATGACATGATTCAGACTGACTACTTTACTACACCAAATAATTTTGCATTTTTAGCTGGTAGTTTCTTTTGAGTGCAATTGCATTTATAATAACTAAACTACAATGGTAAGCTAAGAAAGAAACAAATATTTTTAAGTTTTAACTTGATTATAAGCTGGAAACTGGCCAAGTTTATTTGACTTGATGACTTTTCTTCCTTCTGATAATTGTTCTATCATATAACCAAAGATCTTATTCATGTAGTTAATATGCATAATCTTGTGATTTTGAAGGATCTAATTGAAGTTATTGTTAATTTGAAATTGGATACTCTTTTGTCTTCCATGAGTAATTGGTGATTAGATATGTTAGGAGTGGTCTATTGTTTAATTGAGATGCTTATGATAGTTATGGTGACTCTATTCAAGTAACTAAAAGATGTTGTTCTTACCTTATACTCTAGCAATTAGTGTTTAATGGTTACTATTTTCAATGGATCTGCATCTCAACCACATGCAGTGTCAGTAATTCAGTCCTTTACTCATCATTTATATCTACACTTAGTAGTCCTAGTGCCCTGATGTATTTCAAGCTGAGGACTCAAATGTAATTTATTGATATCATTATTCTTTCAGCGAAGCGTCATTCTTTGAGCAGTCGACTCTTAGTTTCTATATTGCTGATGGGATATCTTGTTTAACCAATTTTTTTCTCACTTAAGTGAACATCTATGGCATCGTATGGATAATTGATATCATGGATGACGGCCTTGGTAAATGCAAGTGATAATAAGTTGTGTGCTGCATATGAACTGTTAGGCATGTTCTGTATAGCTGGTACAAAGCCTGCTTTTTAATTTTTTACTACTTTCACATTTCAGAAAAGCCAGTTATGTATTCGGGTGGGACATCAGTATGGACTCAGTTCAGACTCCCTCATCAGGTAAGCTTTGCGTAATCTCCTTCTCATTATATTTTGATATCATATTTTCTTCTGAACTGCAAGTGCTTCCTCTTCTGTCTCACAGCAGGACTTCCTGGGAGAACTTCGTCGCCAAATGCACAATGCTAATCCTAGTTTCAGTTCGTGATGGCAGGCATGGATTATTTAATAAAGCCCTTGAATGAATGTGGATTTGCTGAATGCTTTACGAACACTTCGATGCTCAGCTAGCTGTTGTTGTGACAGTTATGTCAAACTCATTATAGTATGTATAACTGAAAATCAGATTCAGAGATTTAACCACGCCTGTGTATGTGTAAATTGGATGATGTCCATTCAGGATTCGTATTTAAAGATTAATTCTGTATGTTTGTGATGGTAGTTTTCGTAAATTATAGAGCCTGGATATGACAAGTATTTTTTAAAGAAACTGAAAAGCCGAAATTTATGATATTGTAATAAGTATTTTTCCTTAGTAGAGGTTGGCATTAATTCTCCCTAGATTAAACTGGTATCACATATATGTTTAATGTGTTTTGCATTCGAACGTTTTTTCATTGGGTTTCTGCTAAAACTTACTTCCTTTATTATTAGTAGTATACATTTGAATTCTCATTTTTGTATGAATAATTTTATGTGTTATATTTTCTTTTTGAAGTCAAATGACTTCTCTTATATTGAGTATTTAAACATTACTACATAAATCTAGTTTTATATTTTTAATTTTAATACATTATATTAAATTAAAGGTATCTGTTCTTATCAATTGAATTTAAAAAACTATTGTAATCTTAATTAATTTCAACTTAAACTTTGTCATACCAAATCTTGTATGGACATATTTAAAAGTAGTGCGTTAAGCACAGCCAATGAAATATTGATAGCACATTAAATAATAATAATAATAATAATAATAATAATAATAATAATAGTGCACTTAATTGAAATTTTATTTTATTTTTTTTATTCATTGGTAGAGGAAAGAGGGCATCGTGCTTGCTAGTTGAAGATGGGCTTGTTTTTGGTGGAGCCTGCTAGATGGTCGGAGGTCGTGGATTAGGAGCATTTATATAATATATTTTTCAGAATAGTTTTTTAATTTACATTTATATAAAAAAATTCAAATATTTATTTCATAAATATTTATTAAAATTATTAATTTAATTTTGATATTACTTAAATTTAAATGTTGGTGTAATACTTTGTAACTAAACAAAACAATGATTGATTGAGAAGATATAGAGGGGCAGTGTTGGGCTTGGGCTGAAATGAAACTTATCTTCACCGTTTTAGTGGAATAGAATTAGAATGTGTTTGTCCGTTGTAAGAACTACGGAGAAGCAATGGTGGTTGGGCAGGCTCTTCTTCCTCCTCTTCCTCCTTCAAACTTGCTCTTCAAACGCTATCCAAGACACCTCTCTTTCTCCGCGTCTGCTTCCACCAATCACGCGCAAGACACCGCCAGAACTAACAACGCTGATGAGGATTCTTCGTCGACGAAACTATCCTCAAGCTTTGGAAGACTAAAGGCGCAGAAAGTGAAAGCTCTGGTCCATAGAACCAAGGAGCAAAGGGAACACACATTACCGAAATCTTTGGAAGAAGATGACGAGCATAGAGCCACAAGAGCAAGACATTTGAGAGGATGGGATAGGGTTTCCAATTCTCAGCCACAAAGGGAACACACAAAATCATCCACTGACATTAACTTTTTCAGTCTCAAGTCATTTAAAGAAATAGGATGCAGTGACTTCATCATTCAATCCCTTCAAAAACTGCTCTACACGCGCCCTTCACACGTGCAGGCGATGGCATTTGGACGTGTTCTTAGGGGAAAGACTTGTGTCATAGCTGATCAGAGCGGTTCTGGGAAGACTTTAGCATATCTTGCACCAATCATTCAGCGTCTTAGAGTGGAAGAAATAGAAGGGCGTAGTAAATCCTCTTCGCAAGCTCCTACAGTGCTTATACTCGCACCCACCGCTGAGTTAGCTTCCCAGGTCTGTTAGTTATTCCCATCCCTTTCAGAGTGCTATTACTATAACTCTCTTCTCCATCTATTCCTTGCAGGTCTTAGATAATTGTCGATCCATGTCAAAATCTGGGGTTCCATTCAAATCTATGGTTGTCACTGGGGGCTTTCGACAAAAAACTCAACTCGAAAATTTACACCAGGGTGTCGATGTCTTAATAGCTACACCTGGCCGTTTTTTGTTCCTCATCAAGGAAGGCTTCTTACAGTTATCAAATTTAAGATGGTAAACCTTTCTCTCTTTTTTAATTAGTAACTTACTTCCATCGCAAATTTGAAAAAGTACTAGACTTACATGCCCTTTTATTCCTCACTGTGGATATGTTGTCCATTTAGGATGTTTTATTCATCCACGTCAATCGTGAAATTTATCTTAACGATAATTTGTTACAGTGCTGTGTTGGATGAGGTAGATATACTCTTTGGCGATGAGGATTTCGAAGTGGCTCTTCAATGCTTGATTAATTCTTCACCGGTTGACACACAATATTTATTTGTGACTGCAACTTTACCAAAAAATGTTTACAGCAAACTGGTTGAAGTGTTTCCTGATTGTGAAATGATCATGGGACCTGGTATGCACCGAATAAGTTCTCGCCTTGAAGAGGTCAGGTTTCATCTGTAACTTCATTTTCTTTCTATTTCAATTTTCTTGGATAGAAGATAGCTCGACTGAATACAAGAAAACACAATCCCTGTATTTGTGGATTCAGTATGAGAAACATAACTCCTTTTGCCTCCTACATGAGATTTAAATTGAATTATATTTTATTCTCAATCTTTATATACAGACTTTGTGCTGTACCATTGCATATGGGACTAAAGCTTGTAATAAATATAAAACTGGTATAGTACACCTGTAGGGTGCTGGGATATTTTGCCATGTACAAGGCTACAAGCACCACTAAAAAACAAATTAATATTTGCTTTATAAGTGGATTCTGTGCCATTCTTTTTTAGTCATCAGCTCTTGTGTTTGTAGGTGTGACTATTATATTCTCATTTGTTCAGATTCTAGTAGATTGCAGTGGAGAAGATGGACAAGAAAAATCTCCTGATACAGCGTTTTTAAACAAGAAAGCTGCTCTTCTGCATATTGCGGAGGAAAGTCCTGTCCCAAGAACAATTGTGTTCTGTAACAAAGTATTATGCTTTCTTACCTTTGAGGACTTATCTTTTATAATTTTCATTTTCATTGAGCAGTTTGTTCTGTTTATTTTGGTCTAATTCTCTAAAAAAAATTGCAGATTGAAACATGCAGAAAAGTTGAAAATTCATTAAAGCGTTTTGATAGAAAAGGAGCTCGCATACAAGTTCTCCCCTTCCATGCTGCCATGACACAAGAATCACGGCTTGCTAGTATGGAAGAGTTCACTCGTCCGCCATCAAAAGAAGTCTCCCAGTTTATGGTTTGCACTGACAGGTATTCATCTGCATTTTTGGCTTGGATTTCTTATGTTTTTATTTAACTTTGACTTGTTTGATAATTATCTGTTGCAAATTTTGGTAAATTTTGTGACAGGGCATCACGGGGAATTGACTTCGCAGGAGTGGATCATGTCATACTTTTTGACTTCCCACGTGATCCAAGTGAATATGTGAGGCGTGTTGGAAGAACAGCGAGAGGTGCCAAGGGTGAGGGGAAGGCATTTGTCTTTGTGGTTGGCAAACAAATATCCCTTGCTCGCAAGATAATGGAAAGAAATCGGAAAGGTCACCCACTACATGATGTGCCTTCTGCTTATTAGCTCATAAAGCACCACATTTGAGTTGGGTGCTCTCAACTCAGCTGCTTCACCACCATATTCAACAATCCATTGGTAGTTAAATTATATGTAACATATGCCCAGCCCAAGGTGGCTTGCGCCACTTGTACCGAAAGCAAGAACTACATTAGTTACCTAAAAATATATTCATTTTTATTTTTAAATGATATTTTTTCCATTTTTAAAAACAAGATTAATAATTTTAGTAGTCAATTTTGACATTTTTTATGTTCATTTTGCATTGACTCGACTTAACTAATTTCTTAACTTTTACTAATTACATTTTGTCAAATTAGGTTTTAGGTTTTTTTTTGTTATTATTATTATTTTATTCACTTCAGTTTTTAAGATTGGGTTTAAAATTAAAAAAAAATAATTTTAAAAATATATACAAAATATTTATTATATTAAATAATATAATTTTATTATTAGATATTTAAATTTAACTAATAACAAAATTATTATTATTATTGGTCTTGCTAAATTTAGAATACCGATTAAATAATTAAAAATAATAAATTGTATTGTGATTTAAACTGCATTAATATATATATATATATATATATAATTTTTTTTGACAAAAAAAATATTTTAATTTTTTATTTCTTTAAAGTCATTTCTTAGCATTTACTTATTACGTATTTTGTTCCTTTTGTTTGATTTAAACTTTTTCACTGAAGAAGCGAATGTGAGTTAAAGGCTGTAAACTTTGTTGGAGGAAAGAGAAGGCAGCGAGTGTCTAGTGGGGAACTAAATTTGATGTCATCTTGTTGGGAGGCTTATGACACAATTACGTAATTGTCGTAAGTCATTGTGTCAACATTTTATACGCAATTTAATAATTATTTTATTCCATTGAAACTTACGGACATTTTGAGTTTTTCAAGAACAACTAGTCCCAATATATTTAAAAATTAAAAATAGTATTAATATTAAAAAAAATTAAAGAGCTTTTAAAGTAAAATTTCTGTAAATTTCTTTTAAAATAAATTTTTAAAAGAAAAAACAAATTGATATCCATTCTTAAGTTTTTGTAAATTATAATAAAGTTACACATTAATGAAAAGTAAAACATTTATTAATATTGATTTTATGATTAATTATAAGTATATGAAAGTGATATATTTTCATTAAAAAATATATATATTACGTCTTTTATATTTTTAATATAATGATTTTTTAATGAAAATATTATTTTTGGATGTTTAAATTAATGATTATAATTATAAATTTACCTTTTTTTTTTAGAAAAATGCATTTCTTATTTTAAAGAAGTGGAGTTGATTAGGAATTTAGGATTAATATGCATGTTAAATTAAATTAATAATTAACATATATTCATTTCTGTACTTCAGAAATAAACCTACGGAAAGATCGTTGCTATTGCTAATGGTAAGGTGAGTAGATTGTCGCTGGTTGTGCTTGGAGTAGCCTCGACAGAGAAAGCAAAGCATCTTGAGTTGGGTTTTCTTCATCTTCTTCGCAATGGCGGTACCGACTTCCCTTGAATTTGCATTCCTTCTATTTTTGGCCTTTTCTTCTTCTAATTGCGATTAGTTGACTTTCTTCATCACTGTCGCGACGAAAATTCATAATTTGCTGCTACTGAAGCGATCTTGTTTTCCAGTTTACGTGCTTTATTGTTGAATTTAGTTAATGTTTTTCTTGATATTGAGATCGGAGGCATCAAATTAAGTAAGCTTTTCATTTTCCTGTAACAATCCGTTCTTTGCTTTAGAAGACCTTAAGCTTACTCAATGATTCACTGATTTTTTATTAGTTCTTGTTTTTTCAAGTAATTGATGGAGGAACGCCGGAGAGTTGGAGTGCCATTTGCTGAAATTGGGATATTTGTGTCTCATTATAGGCTGTGACTTTGGAGTCCTGCTACTGCTTGTCTTATAGTGACACTTTCTTTCTTGATGAATGAATGCAATGGTGGATTTCCACTCTACAGTTTTGAAGGGGTCAAAGTAGTTAGTTGCTCTATACAATATATTTATGGCATGATCATATTAAAATCATTGTTTTTGAAAAAGAGAGTATATTAGAAGCATGTATGATAGAAACAACAAAATACTTTTTTGTGCAAGTGAGATTGATGGCGTGGGAAAATTGCATTCCATGTTGGAACTTGGAGGAAGTGAGAGAGTGAATATGCATCGAAGATGCCCTGTTCACTCAAAGTAAATTACGGTGTGGTGGTTATCCATTGCTAGGTGCAAGCTGTAAAGCACAGGGGAAAGCTAGCAGGCTCTGGCTCAGTTCATTTAATACGAATTACTTGGCTCTGCTCATGTACTTCTCTGAGCCTATATAAACGAGCTTGCACTTAAACAAAAATCTTCTTGCAGATACTGATTTTACAGCTTCCTTTCCTTATGTCAGTCGTTTTATGATTTTTCTTTCTTTTTTACCCTTGATACTTAGAGCTGGACCTGTCAAATGATTAATTACAAACCGTGCTTTTATTTCTGTAGTCAAGTTTCTCAACCATCAAAGTTATTTTGAAATCCTTATTTGAGTGATTAACTTATTCATAATTATTCTTCAATGCAGATATGATTTATTTATTTTTGCTTTTGTAGAGTAAAAAAGTTAGGCAGTTTTTTTTTTTTTTAACTTTTTAAATAAATCTATAAATATATAAAATCAATATTAAAAATTAATTATAATTAAACATGGAACTTGTAGTTATGACTCATGATCTACTTTATAATATAAAATTTAAATATTCAATTTGTTCAGTTTGGAATCTTCATATTATACAAATTCTGAAACATTCTTTGCTTCAATTTTCTTCATTATTGTGTTGTAAATACGATCATTCTAAATGTTTTATGTATTTATTACACATTGGATTGTACCCTTGTATCTTGTTAATAAGGTTGTGGTTACTTATTCTTATTCCTTCCACTTCAGGTATTGCATAGAAATTGCTTCTTCCTTAGATAACAGTCTATGTTGACATGTTATCCATGGAGATTGATCTTGAGCTACCTATATGTGAGCACCAGAAGCTCAATACTGGATCCAACAGAAATGATGTTGCTAATACCGCATGTAGTATACATGTTGAGGAGCAAAGCATCAATCCTTCTTCAACGACTGAACACTATAAGGAAGTTTTAAGTGAAAATGCTTTCTGTTGCCTGGATCAGGTAGATTTGAATTCCAATCAAGTGGATGCTATTGATAAATTCCGCTTTAAAGAACCACAGAATGGCTTGGAATTTGAATCAAAGGAGGCTGCCTATTCTTTCTACAGAGAATATGCTCATTCAGTGGGATTTGGGATCACAATAAAAGCCAGTCGCCGCTCAAAAAAGTCGGGTAAATTTATTGATATTAAAATTGCCTGTTCCAGATTTGGAAGTAAGCGTGAGTCCGGTACAACTGTTAATCCACGACCATGTATAAAGACAGACTGTAAGGCTGGTATCCATATGAAGAAGAAGCTAGATGGTAACTGGATCATATACCATTTTGTAAAAGAGCACAATCATGAGATCTGTCCAGATGATTTTTTCAGGGGACGCAGCAAACAGACAAGTGATGTAACTTGTCAGAAGAAGGGTATGCAATTGGCACTAAATGAGGAAGATGTGCACGTGATGATTGAATATTTTGTGTCAATGCAGGGTGAAAATCCCAACTTCTTCCATGCAATAGACCTGGATCACAATAGACATTTGAGAAGTGTATTTTGGGTTGACTCAAAAGGCAGACTTGATTATCAATACTTTCATGATATTGTTTTGATTGACACATTTTACATGAAAAACAAATATAAAATTCCTTTTGTTCCTGTTGTGGGGGTCAACCATCACTTTCAGTACATTTTAATTGGATGTGCACTGGTTGGGGAGGAGACTGTTTCAGCTTTTACATGGTTAATGCGAACATGGCTCAAAGCAATGGGTAACCAACCACCAAAGGTGGTTATCACAGACCAAGAGAAATTCTTGAAAGAAGCTGTTGTAGAGGTGTTTCCAGACACACGTCATTGCTTCTGTCTATGGCATATTTTATGTAAAATCACCAAGAATTTGGATTATATTGTAAATGAAAATAACAATTTTATGGAAAATTTTGACAAATGTATTCATCATTCCTTTTCGGATGAGCAGTTTGGAAAGAGATGGTGGAAATTGATCAATAGATTTGAACTAAAGGATGATGAATGGGTTCAGTCATTGTATGAAGATCGTAAAAAGTGGGTACCCACATACATGCAAGATATTTCTTTGGCTGGATTGTCAACAACTGTAAGGTCAGAAAGTATATCATCGTCTTTTGACAAGTATATTTGTGTTGATTCTACCTTTAAGGAGTTTATTGAACAGTATAAAGTTTTCTCTTCAGACAGTTTTGACATGGAAACCAAAGCTGACTTTGAAACAAGACAAAAGCAACCAGCATTAAGATCTTTATTGCCTTTTGAGAAGCAGGTTTCTACAGTTTATACAGATGCCATATTTAGAAAATTTCAGTTGGAGATACTGGGAATGATGTCTTGTCATCTTGAGAAGGAAACAGAAGACATGGCATATGTAACATTTCTTGTTGATGATTTTGAGGAGCGGAAGAAATTTATTGTTTCTTGGAATGAAGCAGATTTGGATGTCTGTTGTTCTTGTCATTTATTTCAATACAAAGGTTTTCTATGTAGACATGCTATACTTGTCATTCAGAAGTCCGGCATGACCAACATTCCATCCCATTATATTTTGAAACGATGGACAAAAGATGCTAAGGCCAATCAATTTTCTGGTGACATAATTAGCAGGACTGCTAATCGAGTCCAACGTTTTAATGACCTTTGTAGGCGGGCTATTATATTAAGTGAAATTGGGTCTTTATCTGAAGATACTTATATTGTTGCATCTCATGCTTTGGAAGAAGTCTATAAGCATTGTGTGAATGCCAACAATTCTGCTAGAAGCACTTCAGATCCCCACAAGTTGGCCCTTAATGATTTTATTGATGTTGAAGAGAACTATGGTTGCCATAAGGCAAAGTCTACTAAGAAAAGGAAGTCATCTAATAAACAGGTTAGTTGATGATCACTAAACTGGTGTTGCTAGAGCTTGTTTTGACTTGTAAGTGGTGAGCATTCTTAAACAGATTTTTTATTTTACAGAAATTGTCTGATCCAGAAAGAATCAATATCAAGATGCCCGATGATTTCGAAAAGAGGGTTTGTTACTTGATATTCTGTTGGCCCTTGTCTTGCATGAATAAAGTTTTGAGCTCTTATATCGCTCATATTTTGTAGGATCTTCAGTGGTCTTTTATGTGCAGGAACAGAGAAATTCAAGAGGACAAAACTTTGATAATTGTCACATTTCTCAGCATGACACACAAACAGTGGTATGGGATATTTCTGAGCCCATGATTGATTAAGTTATCTAGTTACAGTACTTCAACAGTTACGGTGTTTATTGATTTTTTTTCTCCTTTATTTTCTATATTATTCCTTTGGGAACATAAGATAAGCCTTTGTTTTTACAGGACTTGGATTCTAGAGCTTCAACTCTTGATAGCTGTTATGAGGCAGAACAGAACATACTTGGAGACGTACTAGTCTTCACTGTACTTTTTCTTATAGTATGATAGTGTATAAACAAATTGTTGACTTGATTTTCGAACTTTTTAAAGGCACAGCTGAACCCAGTTTCTGTCATGCATGCTGGCTATTTTACCAGTCAACAGGCCATTCTGGGGCTGGTAGGGTACATGTCTCTCTCTCAAGCTCTTGTTTTGAAAAATGGTTATGGATCTCATATTTTGTTCTAATCTTCAGGGGCAATTGCATTCCATGTCAAACCGTGGGTCACATTATGGGATGCAGCACAGCATGCAAGGACTGGTAGCTGGTTATGGCTTATGTTTTAAAGCTATATGGCTTAATATTTTAGATCTATGATAATTTAGCTTCTGCTGGTCTTGTTTTTGCAGCAACACGGACAGCTTAATTTCAGAATGCCAACAGTGCAAGGGTGTTTTGACCTTCAAGATACTCTAGATGTTATGGTAAGCAGTTACATGACTTGGCTCTGTTCCACATTTTAGTTTGCAGTTTCTCTGCAAAGTAGATTCACGAGATATGATTTTTGCTTCAGGAACAACCTATTAGGGCCTCACAGTTCCCTGTTATTACATCAAAGCAACTAGATGTTGATAAATCACTTTCCTGATAGCCGGAAAAGTACTGTTTCTTTTTGTGTCAAATTATAACGTTATATGTATATAGAAAATATATATTGAAGTAATTAAGAAAGCCTTTGCTTGGGAAAGTAGGGGAAAATTGCGCTCTTGACAACAGGTTAATGCCAAAAATCTGAGAAAAAGATGGCTTCCACTCTGCACCTTCGTCTACCTAAAAGGCTTACACTCTGCTCGATCATAAAAAGCTTGAACGTAGTTTAGTTAGATCCGGGAGCGTACGAATTGCGCTGGCACCATTTAAAACAACCCTCACAAAGAAAAGAGGGTTACCACTCACTTCCTCCGCGGCTCTATGCCCAAAGCATCTAGTTGGGAAGGATTTTAATGGAGGTGTTCGAACTGCAACTGCACACTGGCTGAGGCATGTGCTACAAGCAATATCCGATTGGAAACCAGAAAGGAAGCAAACGGGGAAGGCATGCCAAGGATGTCTTACGTACAAATGGTACACTATCACTTCCTAGTTAGGCAAATCACTACAATTGCATCATAAAATTAGGAGAAATTAAGTGTAGTTTCTTATATTTTTAAGTGTTGTTTTACAGTCAAAATCAGAGTTTCCTTTTGATCAAAAGTCAACATTTAAAGTTGTTGGTTATCGAGGTGAATTTATTTTAACGGGAAAACAACACTAAAAATATTTAAGGAATGTACTAAGTTTTGTGCCATTGCATGAAGTAGAGTACCGAAGTACTGCAAGACCCAGCGAAGAGGTCCAGTTTGGTAAGTGGAGGACCCCTACCTCTGGACGGAAGAAGAGAAGAGGAGCAGCGACTGCAAATTCTTGCCTGATTGGATCGTAGATGGAAAAATTCCAAACTATGAATTGGGGAAAAACTTGTCTCTGATGACTTTTTATCCAAATCATGATTTAGAGGTTTCTAACTAGAATCTAAATATGTTGGGACTCCCTTGTGGCAAGATTATTGTGATTTTTCCTAAACGAATTTAACTTCATATGTGTTTGCTATTAGGGGTGTCCATAAATCAGCCAACCCTATAATACAAATCGATCCAAATTGAAAAACGATCCAAAATAATGTTTAACAAGTTCAATTTGATGAAATTTAACGTGGTTTGGTTCGGATAACATTTCGTACTGTGCTAATCCAATCATCTAAATATAAACTCAATTAATCTGATGAATACTACTTAGAGATTCTTAACACTTATTTTGAATTTAATTTAATTTTTATTTTAAACTGAGACTTGTTTTGAATTTGTATAAGAATATTGTGTAATTATGTTGAAATTATGTATCAAGAATTATTTCAATGACAAAAATAACATTTTTCTTATTTTTTATATATTTATTTTAGATTATTTATGGGACAATACTGAACCAACTTGTTCATGTATAGTTCGAATTTGTGAAAAAAATTTAAAAGTTCAAATCAAATCAAACTAATTTATTTTAAACAGTTTGAATTTTTTTTTTAAACTCGAACCAAACCGATCTGTGAACACTCTTGTTTGTTATTATGTTTGTTCTCTTTTTAATCAATGTGAGCTGGCATATAACAATAATATGAAAATTTTTCACCTAAAAATATTAAATTTTTTTATTAAATCTTGGTCATTACTGGTTTATAGTTGAATTTTAAATGTGGTTAAATCATATTTGAACTAGTAATAATAAAATGTATATTTTAAATAATATTTTCTTAATAAAATTTGACTATTTGTTGAGTGTTTAAATTTAGAAATAGATTTAATAAAACTCTATTAATATTTAATTTTTTCTCCAAAAAAAATCATTTATAAATAATAAGAAAATTCGTTTAAAAATAACTTATCGAATAATCAAGGTTGATTATTTTAGTATATGATAAAAATAACAATGAACACTGTTGCTTTGCCAATAAAACATTCAGGAATTAAATATTATTGTTTCCTTTTTTAAAATTTTTTTTTTAATTTTAACAGTAAAATAATATATAATATAATATTATATTATATTTTAAAAAATATAAAACTGTTTGTTCTAACTTTATTATTATTTGAATTATATTTAAACTCTTCCTATCATTATAAGTTTGGTTTTCTAAGCAGATGGAGTTTTAATTGTTTATGAAAAAAGTTTAGAAAATAATATTCAACAATGTTAGTTTGTTATATGTGCAAGAAATTTATTATAATCGTGATTATCATTATATTATTAGTAGTTATCGATCTAAATTTTCCTATGATGATTACTAGTAAATCATATATACAATAATCTCTTATAATTCTTATAATACACTTAATATGGTAATTATAATACACTTCTATTTTTTGACTTATCGTGAAACTAACATTACAGAGAAATTCAGATCGATAATTACTATATTAAGTGTATTATAATGTTTTGTCTAATACTGATACTATCCTTTATTTAGATGTAACTGATAACATTGTTTTTTTTATGGAGTTCAGCCTTATACTATCTATTTGAATTGATCTTTATTAAAATTATTAACTTTGATATATTTATTTATTAAACTTCTAAATTTAGAAAAATGATTATTTTAAGACGTGCATGGCAGTTAAGTTTTGAGAGAGAAAAAGTATATTTTTATTTATAATAAATATTTTTAATTAAAATAATAATCTAATATAAGTTTAATGTCTTAACTTTATTTATTTATTTTTATAAATATTATATAAGTCTTTAGTTTACAAATAAAATTTCTTTTAATTTTTCGTTCGTAGACATTTTTTTAAACGTAGAGTACTTAAATGGCGATAAATAATTATATAAATACATTAATAAAAAAGGCTTTCTCATTTATTGGTACGGAGAAAAGTTAAAGATTTATTTAACTTATAAAATAACTCAATTCATTATAATTTGGTGTTTAAATATGTTTTTTTTATTATACCAAGAGTTAAAATTAAAAAATGTAGTAAAAAAATATAAATAGGTGTTATTGAGTATAAAAATATATTGTTAATGCTTTAAAATATTATTAAAATAAGAAAGATCAATAAAAAGAAGGCATATAATATGCCAACAGAGAATTGAAATAAAAAAATAGTTTGCTATAAGTACTTAAGCAAATAAATTTTATTTAATCAGTTATTTGTTTACGTTAAACTAATTTAGAGAGCTAATAATAGGGAATTTTGTACGTTATAATGAGATAGTTACAGTGAGAGGAAGGAGTTATTCTCGTGTCTATCTTGTTGGTCGTATGATGTAATAAATAAATAAACAAACGGTGTTGTGAAGTGAAGTGAGGTCTCCGCTTCTTCCCTTTAAACCCACTCCCGCCAACACCATACTGCACTTCCCTTTGTGTTTTCATTTTGAAATCGAAGAAGATTCCAGAAGCATGAGCGCTGTTAACATCACCAACGTCACCGTCCTCGACAACCCTGCTTCCTTTCTTACCCCTTTTCAGTTCGAGATTTCCTACGAGTGTTTGACCCCTCTCAAAGATGGTAAATCTTCTTTCTTTTAGGGTTTCTTCAATCTTCAACGTTGCCGTTGCATCCTAGCCTTTATTCACTCCAAATCCCATTTTGTCGCTTCTTGCTAAGTAACATTAACACTTACACAACATTTTGATTTTAGGAATGCCTTCGAAGTTCTGAAAGATTGGTGTAGATGGGATTGGATGGGGGGTTTTCGCTTTCCACAAATGTCTACAGGGTCAACTTATTAGCCAAACCCCTCCCTTTCATCTAGTTAAAAATGAATCTTTTGTTTTATACACAAAGAGAGGACTGGGATATCTGTCATTCTCTTAAACCCAGGGCTTATGTTCTTATAATTACCCCCAATTTATCCTAAAAGTTCCCGACGTATTTAACAACCACAAGTTTGCTTAATCATATCACAAATGGGTGGATCAATACTGCAGTTTTTCTTTGTCTTTCGTTGTATTGATGATTCTTTTTTTGTTATTTGGTAATAGACTTGATGATATTTTCTCAACTTTCGAGTGTTTGGCTTTGTTCTGGAAACAATCTTTTAAAACTTGAGAAAAATATTTCATTTTTTTTCCTCCCGAAATGTTGTAATACATTGGTATGAGAAAAAACTTGGAAACTATTTTCTTGTTAGGGATTTTCTGGTAACAAACTTAATCTAAATATTATTAAACCTGTTTTTCTATCATATCTACTATACTTTTACTCCTACATCATCTTGCTTCTGTGGTCTACTTTACAATGTTTGGTTGTGACAATATATGCTGTCTTGTGGATACAGATTTGGAATGGAAGCTCATTTACGTTGGATCTGCTGAGGATGAGACGTATGACCAATTATTAGAGAGTGTTCTTGTTGGTCCTGTCAATGTTGGAAACTATCGCTTTGTTTTACAGGCAAGCTTTATGAATACTGAGCTTTAGAATTCTATGTTGCAACTTGCAATTGCTTATGGACTCGAACTTTTAATTGATATCAGGCAGATCCACCAGATCCTTCAAAGATTCGTGAAGAAGATATAATTGGTGTCACAGTGCTTCTGTTGACTTGCTCTTATCTAGGTCAGGAATTTATTCGTGTTGGATATTACGTGAACAATGATTATGATGATGAGCAGCTGAGAGAGGAACCTCCACCAAAGGTTTTAATTGATAGGGTTCAAAGGAACATTTTAACTGATAAGCCAAGGGTCACAAAGTTCCCCATCAATTTTCACCCTGAGAACAATGAAAATGAAGAGCAACCCCCTTCATCTGAACACCCATCTGAAACTGGAGAAGATCCACATGCTTTAGTTGATCGTGATCCCCCAGATGAGAAGGAATCTTAACATTTTGTAGGTATACTTACCTTTTCAATTCCTAAATCTTCAATGTTACATTTACTGTATGAACTTTGATGCCATTTTTGTGAATCTCTTTTCGATGATGTGAATGAGATTTCTGAGTTCTTTTGGGAAAGTATGGGCCATGAAGCACCAGGTTCAACATGATTGTAATGTGTGAAAACTAGTTTTTCTATCTATGAAGCTTTTCAATGCAAAGTTGCAAACCCAATTTTATTGATTATTACATTGTTTCATAAATCATAATCTTCATGATTTGTAATAGCAAAGAGGCTTCACTATAAGCTTGAGGTCGTTCTTAGTTTTTCTTTTATTCAGTTTATCTATGAACTTTTGCTTATACAATAGGTTGAGGATGAACCTTTGCGCAACAGTCAGGTTGTTGCCTTTTGATACACATGTTCAAATATTTGAAATTGCCTCGTTGCTTGCTGGGGTAAGGCTATGTACATCTACCCTTCGAAACTCCCCTGGGCATCCTTTAAAATAATGAGCAAATTGACAATTGATTGTCTCATCGAGTTAAAAAATTTGGCTAATTTATTAAGGATCTATTTGGGATGGTTATGGGTTTTCAATTTTTTATTGTCAATGCAAATTTCCAAATAAAATATGATAGATTAAAATAGATTTTAATTTATTTCTAACTCAATTTTAAAAAATAAAACTAGTTTTTTTTATTTGTAAAAATAAATCATTTTTTTCTCTCTCCTAAATAAAAGAGTTAGTAATTGTTATTGTCACTCTAACCTACCATTGCCATTACTGCCTATTGTCATGATCACTGTCGGACCATGACAGGACGACGATGATAAAGAGTTGTCACCAAAGTTTATTAAAGAAAACATTGGAAAAAACTTTTAATTAAAATAGAATTTTTGAAACCAAATTTAGACTCGGGAGTCGTTTACGTGTAAGGAAGATATTAATACCTTACGATGTCTGTTGGTTAAAATAATTATCTTCTAATTAATTATGTAAAATTTTATTTTAACTTTAAAAACATTTATTTCACTCTAAAAGAAACTAATTAATATTTTTTTTTTACTATTTTTAGATTTATTTCTAATTTTTACAAATTTTTTGAGAAATTTTATTTTTATTTTTTAAAATGAGGAAATATAATAAAAATTATTTGAATTAAAAGAATAAATTATTTGTAAAAATATTATTCTTTTATTTTATTTTTTGTATTAAAGAAATATATAGTAAAAAAACTTATTTTAACACTTTATTTTTTTATTTTCTATTTTTTAAAATAAAATAAAATTTTCGTTTTTTAATTTTTATAAAAAATAATGTGCTAGAAACTAATTTTAGTTTAAAACAATTTTAAAAATATTTTGAACCTGAAAAAATATTTTTTAAAAAAATATACTTGATAAGTCAGGTTCCTGCTCATACATATCTTCCGTGTGTGTAACGTATGAATCAAATCTACTAGATAGTTCTTTTTCAAAAATTATGTTTTGAATAAGTTTCAAAGATTTTTTTTCTTTTTTCTATAAAAAAAAACTTGATTTTTCTTTATTATTATTTTTAAGTAAATCTATTCTTGCACAAGGTTCAAGTTAGCACACGGCTAATCAATAAACCTTTACGTCCTCCACTCTATCAAAATTAATTGGTCGTTGCGTGGATTCAAAAGATTCTTTTTTTTTATTAATAAAAAATTGATGTACCTTTTAATATGAGATTTTTGCATGCAAAAAAGAAACAAACGAGAGACATACAGAACAAATAAATAAATACAAAAGCAAATAAAAATAATGAAAAAATAACTTTTATTCAAGTTAGGAATTAAGTTTTTTTTTTAAGGTTAGGATATGCAAAGAAATTAGGGTTTTTAGATTTTATGAAAAGAAAAAAAATTTATGATTTAGAAAAATTAAATTTTTATAATTTGCAAAATTGTTAGGGTTGAAAAAAAATGGTTTGTTTTAGACCTTACAAAAAATTGAATGATTTTGGGTTAGAAAACAAATATTCTTTTTAGGGTTTGGTAAAAAAAATTTAGTTAAAAAAAATAGTTTATTTTTAGGGTTTGCAAAAAGGTAATACTTAGATTTAGTGAAAAAAAATTAATATTTATGGATTTAGATTTTTTATTTTTTACTTTTTAGGGTTTTATTGAGTGAGAAATAATTTAGGATTAGAAAAATTATTAGAATTTATAAAAAAAATGAAATTTTATTAAATTTTCTCTTTTTATTTATTTATTACACTTGCAAAAAAAAGATTAAATCATGAAGAAGAAGAGAAGAACGTATAAAAAAAATAAACAAAGAAGAAGAATCCTTAATAAATATAGGAAGGATGAGAAATGAATAAAGAAGGAGGATTTTTATTAGATAAAAAGCGAAAAAAAATTTATTAGACAAAGGAAGGATGAGAAACAAACCAAAGAATAAAATGAAGAATACTTACTAGATGAAAGTTTTTCTTTTTCCTCTCATGGTCGGATCTCTCCTTCTTCAATTTATTCTTTGTAAACGATCTCGAGATGTGTTTTATGATTTTTGGCGCTATTAGATAGTTTTCTCTGATCTCTTGTCCTTCTTTTACTCTTTGTTTCTTAGGCTCTCTCTATAATTATCTCTCAAAGAGGTTTCATAAAAATAAAAGGTGTCCACCTCCAAAGTTCTCTCCTCTAAAAATCTAAGCTTCTTATTTATAAACATTTTCTAAAATCCTAGATCCTAATAAAGGCTCCCTTATTTTTCGATGACCAGTAATCAATTTTTTTTTTTTATCTATTTTCCTAAAAATCTACTAACTACTTTGACCATTTCTAAATCTGATTTTACATTTAAAAATTAAAAATTTAAATTTAAATGTTAAATTAGTTTTTTTTATCTAATTTTAGTTTTTTATTATATTTAATTTTTTTATTTTAAAATTTATTTTTGACAAGGACCCGGATAAAATTGAGTATTCACAGTTGCCCCTCTTTAATTATTTTTTATAAAATAATATGAATAATAAATTTTTTCATATTATTATAGTAAGAAATAAGTAAAGAAGTGAATTAATTTTATCTGTGGTCCTGTGTAACACAAGTATTGTATACGAGCCAAGTTTTGTGAAGGACAACTAGTCAGATTCTAGACATTGTGAAAATATAAAAAGTGTCAGTCAGATTCTGGACTTTGGAAACTTTAAAAGTGAAAGTGCTGGTTAGATTCTAGACTTTTGAAATATGTAAAGGTGCCAGTCAGGTTCTGGACTTTAGAAAAATGAAAAAGTACCAGTCAGATTTTGGACTTTGGAAAACGTAAAGGTGTCAGTCAGGTTCTGAACTTTGAAAAATGTAAATGTGTCAGTCAGGTTCTGGACTTTTGATGAAAGTAAAGGTAACAGTCAGGTTCTGGACTTTGAGAAATGTAAATGTGTCAGTCAGGTTCTGGACTTTGGATAAAAGTAAATGTGCCAGTCAGATTCTGGACTTTAAAAAATGTAAATGTGTCGACAAGATTTCAAGCTTTAACAAAAAATTAAAGATACAGTTAGCTACTAAGCTTTGATAGAACAATAAAGAAGTCAGTCAAGGCCTATAAAATGAGGTATGTATAAGGCTCATAAGATGATTCAAACATGCAAGAGTATAAGATAAGAATAAAACATAGGCATGTGAGATAATAGGAAGTTTTGCGGGATCCAACTAGAATGAGAGTAAAGTTTATGAGATATATGAGGCATGAGTGAGCATATGGACCTTTAAGAAAAATTGGTATGAGTGCCTATGAAATATGAAGCATGAGACTTGTGAATTGCAACAAGCACAACATTCTTTGATACACAAAATACATGAAGCTTATGATTAAGTACATGTATTGGCTTAGGCCTCAGGGATGTATGAACATGGGTACTTGTAAGATGAATGAGCATTATAGCTTTTAAAACAAACTAACATAAAAGTCTAAAAGGGAAAATAGGCATTAGGCCTAAGATTACAAGAGGCACTAAGACCTTGGAGATGAAGAGCACGTAGAGACTTATGAGATAAACTTACGTGAGGGCTTAGTTGGTAAGCAAGTAAGAATAGACGCAATAACCTATGAGGTACAACAAGCTTAGGAGTTCATAAGCATAAAACCTATGTAGGCACGAAGGCTTGCACGATAGGCAAGAGATAGATTTTTGAAAGCAACAAGTATGAAAGCCTACAAAGTGGGTAGGTAAAAGTCTATCGAAGGCCACGAGCATAGAGACCTATAAGAAAACACGTTGAAATCGATGAGATGAAATTACTTGAGGGATTAGTTAGTAAGTGAGTGAGGCCTGTAAGAATAAGCGTGTTAACCTATGAGGTACAATAAGCTTACGCGTTCATAAACATAAATGTCAAATGAATGTAATAAGCATAGAACCTATGTAGGCACAAAGGCTTACACGATAGACAAGAAATGGATTTTTGAAAGTAACAAGCATGAAAGCCTATAAGGTGTGTAAGTGAAAAAGCTTGTAAGATGCAGAAGGCATGGGAACCTATAAGATAAAGCAATTATAAGGGCTTTGAAATTAACTGACTTCAGAGAATGCAAGAAGAGATAGGTTCATGGGCCTATGGAATAAGATAGTCATAAGACCTATGACATGGGTGGGTATAGAAGTATGTGAGATGAAGAACGTACAAGAACCTATAAGAAGAAGTAAGTACAAGAGCTTGATATTAATTGATATCAGAGCTCATAAGATAAGATAGGCACATGGAACCTATCCAAGATGAACAATGTACCAAAATTTATGCAAAGAAGCATGCATAAGAGCTTGAGATTAGATGACATCAAAGCTCATAAAATGAGATAAGCTTATAAGCCTGTGAAATGAGATAACCATGAGACCTATGAGATGAGTAGGTACAAAAGTGTGTGAAATGAATAATACATGAGAATCAATTAGAAGAAGCAAGCACAAGAGCTTGAGATTAATTGACATCGTAGCTCATGAGATGAGATAGGCTTATAGGCCTGTGAAGTGATATAATTATGGGATCTATGAAATGGATATGTATAGAAGTGTTTGTGTTGAAGAATGCATAAGAACCTACGAGAAGAAGCAAGTACAAAAGCTTAATATTAGTTGACATCAAGGCACATGGGCCAGTGCAATAAGATAGCCTTGGAACCTATGAGATTGGTATGTATATAAGTGTGAGAAATGAAGAATGTACAAGAACTTATAAGAAGAAAGTGTATGAGAAGATGAGATAGATATATGGACTTGTGAAGTGAGATAGTCATGAAATCTATGAAATAAGTATGTACAAAAGTGTATAAGAAGAAAAGTGCATAGGAAC